AAAACAATTAGCTTTAATATTTCTTTTATCAGGTTGTTGGGGAAGTCATGATGCATTTTTTGCATAGAAAAATACATCATGATTTTCCTGATGACCAAATACATTATTTAGCAAAGCCCTTGTCACGTTTCAGTGCTCAATCAGTGTTAATTGGGTTTTATTTAAAGTGTGCTGAAAAGATCGATGCTTTATTCAAAATGCTGAGGGAATATTAAAGTCTTGCTTGTTCAAAAATTCGGCCTGAAAAGAAAATGTTCCTGACATTGTGAATCGCAAAACATTGAGGCTAGGTGGTTTTGCTTTCACTTAAAAGAAAAGAAAAACCTGACCAAGATAGAGAACGTAGAGGGGTCCTACGTGTGCTAGTTTAGGAAGGAGAGCATTCCAGAGCAGTCCCAGTGCCCAGTGGCTAAGGAGTGGGACCCCACATGGCTTACCGCAGGTGAAACCCCCAAAAACATGGCTGGCGTGTGTGCGTGCGTGTCTAAAATCGCAGCAGGATGGAGAAATAGAGGAGATTTCTCTGTGACCACGCCTCCTTACAGGGTGCTCGCTCTCTCACCTTCTCCCTCTTTCTCTCCTAGGTGAGCACATGTGCCCTCTGGTAATTAAAAACTAAAGAAAAATAGAAGTATCCTAAGTAAAAGAGATTCCATGTAATGCAGTAGCACAGATTATAATAAAGCACTTTAAATAAACGTTGTCAAGATGTCTTCAATAATTTCCACGTCACCAAGTGAAGGGATATTTATTGCAGTAGGAAGTGGAAACCAGGCCTGGCCTGGGAGTGCCCGAGGACGCCCGAGATGCGGAGCGCGCCCTGCTGTGAGTGCGAGGCCCTGGCTTTCCAGGTTTAAGATGCGGTTTTCCTGAAGGACCCCGAGCGGGTGATGTCTCACCTTCTCTGTCTCTGTCCTCTCTCCAGTCACCCGATATAAGTGCGGGTTAGGGCTGGCTCAGCAGCAGGGCCCACGTGGCCAATCCTCCCTGACTCGGCAGCTTGAGAAACGCACTGGCATGTGAGCAGCTGTGACCCAAATCCCGAAAGCAGGGAGACATCGAGAGAGGCGTGGTGTGACTGCTCCCCATCAGGGGTGCTTTCTCCTTCTCCTTCTCCCTGCCAAGTAAAGATGCCCTCTGGCAAAAAGGCATTGTCGTTTTGCTTCTTACCTTTTTCATAATCTATGATTCATTCATTTTCTTTTATTGCTCGAAGCGCCTTTGAAATGCAGAAGTGTTTCTTCTTTACATAAGCAGATCAGTATTCTTCTTTGGTTTCTAAATTGTTTTATACTCAGTAATTTTCCATTCACTGGCCAAACTAATACGTAGTTTTATTATAATGTGTTTAATTTTTCCTATGTAAGTATTTCACATAGATTTTAATTTTAGTAACAGCTTTTTTTGTGGTCTAATACTCACGCTACAAAATCAACATCTTTAAAATATGAAATTTGGGCTCTGCATCCCACATGGCCCACTCTGTGGTTCAAGTTCCAGGCCGCCAGGCGTGTGTGTGTATGTGCCCAAAATCCCGAGAGGAGAATGGAGAAAGGATTGATTCATGACCCCTGGAGAGGGGTGATTTCTTACTTCATCTCTGTCTCTCTGTCTCTGTTTGTGTCTCTCCAGTGAGTGCACACACATTATAGCAAAAGTCTTTAAAAAAAAAAAAAGAAAATGCAATTTGGCAGTTTGTAGTTTATTAGAAAATTTGTGTAGCCATCATTGCTATCAAGGCTTAGCACATAGTCTAACCCCTCGTAAAAGAGGGGTTAACACCCAGCCGCAGTCGTTTCCCATCCCCCAGCCTCCTCATGCCCTGTTACCACCAACCAGCTTCCTACCTCTATGGGCGTGGCTATTCTGGGCGCTTCACACCATTGGACTCACATAATTTGTGGCTTTTGGTATGTGGTTTCTTTCATTTAAAATAATATTTTCAAGATTCGACTATGAGGGCACTTCAAAAAGTTCGTTGAAAAATGGAATCGAAGTAGAAATTTATTTGGGGTAAAAACATTTTGAAACCCACGCACACCTTTTCCGTAGCGTGCGTTCTCTGAAGACAGGTAAGAGCTCTGGTGTGTGAATGTGTATCAGCACTTTACTCCTTTTTACTGCCAAGTGGTATTCCATTATGTTCCACAGCCCTTCATCAGCCGCTCCAGATCTGTGTGGCTGCCATCATTTGCATAATGTGTGTGGACGTGTTTTTGATTCTTTGAGGTATCTACTTAGGAATGAAATTGCTCCTCACATGGTAACCCTTTATTTAACTTTGAGGAATTGCCAAACTGCATTCAAAAACAAATGCATCTGCTCACCAGTGATGTTAAAAAAATGATTGCTTTTTATTTATTACAACTTTTTCTTCCAATTTTCTGTAAGGTACTTGTGCTCATCAGAGAGAGGAAGGAGAGAGAGAGAAAGCAAGGCACCAGGTCCAGGACTGGAACCACAGTCAGTCGTGTGGGAGTGCAGCGCCCCAACCACCACGCCATCTACTGGTCCCCCCTCAGTGGCAGGTTAAGGTTTTAAAATTGCCACATCCTCTTCCACACTTCTTGACCACTCTCTTCACTTCGGCCATGCCAGTGAGTGGGAAGTGGCCTGTCATGCAGTTCACGTTTGCACTCCTTCAATGAACATCTTTATATGTGCCTATGGTCCATTTGTAAATCCTTTCAGAAATGGCTATTCAGATCATTTACCCAGGATTTTTGTACTGTGTGTCTTTTTACATTGAATTGTGCTGTTTTAATATACATTCTGCATGTAAGACCCTTATCACAGAAATCGTTTGCAAGTATTTTCTCCCATTTCGAGGGGTATCTTTTACTTTCTCAATTGTATCCTTTGGGGAGCAAAAGATTTCAGTTTTGCTCAAGTCAACTTTATACTTCCTTTTCTTCAGCTTGCTGTGTGTGACCACAGAAATTTTTGCTCAACTCTCCTACTAGAGATTTAATGATTAGACAGCAATTTAATTAAATGCCTTGAATCAATAAGTGTCCCAGGCTTTGCTGAGGCACTGTGTTCATGTTTAGGGTCACACGTTGCATCCTCCTACGGGCAGTCAACAGCTCTGCCTTCACCTCTCCCTCTGTGTGCAGAGTCTTGCGGTCAGCAGAGATGAGAGATTTATGGTCCTCCCCATTTCCTGGATGTGCATCTTGTCCTGCATCTATGCAGCACTTTTCAGATCCCTGTATGAATTTCCCATTCCTCAGGTTTTTTTCTTTTAAGTTTTTTAGTGAGCTTACCATTATCCCCAACTAGTATTTCCATGTCAGGAAACTGTTACGTCGAATGACTGTTGATGTTTAGTTTCAATAAAGGCTTTAGGGTTAGGGAGCTCTAAGTCTTGCTCAAATACAGAGAAGTCATAAAAATAGGAGTTTCGGGGAGCTCTCACAGTGGCCCATCACAGACAGTTCTCTGAGAACTTTGGGGGGGTTCCTATTGTACCCTCTCCTCAGTGTCTCCATGGGTGAAGTCACTGTCGGTAGTCACAGCCACCATCCTGCAGACTCTTGGCCAAGACTGTCCTGCTACTGCAAAGAAGGGATGGAACAGTTCAGCTGAAAACGCCACAGACCTCGCAGTTCAGAGTGAGACAGCTGCTTTTCCGAGTAGATACTTTGTTGCAAGCTTTCTTGTACTTCCAAGTTTCTGCAGAATTTGACTTTAACAATGATTGCTAAAGCAATAAGTGCCTTGATGGAAGAGAAGATTTTCTGGTCTTTATGCTGCCTTTTCCGGCGGTATTTCTTGGATTTAATGTTGACAAACACTGTGATTTTTTTTTTCTTTCTCCCAAATGGTTATGTGTCTGCATGGATCTGAAATGACTGAATAATTGTGATAATTTCTGGGTTTAAAAAAATAAATCCTGTGACCAGGAGATGGCACAACGGTTACGTTGCTGGACAGCCACATAGCAGAGCAAAGTCCAAGTTCTGGTCCCGGAGCTTGAAACTCTTGCTGGGCGTGAATGTGCATGTGTGTGTGTGTGTGTGTGTGCATGTGTGTGTGTGTATGTGTGTGTTTGTGCATGTGTGTGTGTGTGCGTGTGTGTGTGTGTGCATGTGTGCATGTGCATGTGCTTAAAATCCCAAGAGGAGAATGAAGGAGAAGGAATTGCAGCATGACCAGGCCCTTGTGGAGTGATTTCTCACTGTCTATCTCTCTGGTGAATGCATGCACTCTGTAGAAAAAAAATCTCTCTTTCAAAACAAAAAAAATTGGGATCAGCAGTTGGCTCAATGGCTGTGTCGCTGGACTCCCATGTAGTCGACCTCTATTCGAGTCCCACAGCCAATGGCTTAAACTCACGCCAGGAGTGTGTGGGTGTGTGCCCAAGATCCCAAGAGGAGAATGGAGGAGAAGTGATTGCGGCATGACCATCCCCCCTGGGGGGTGATTTCTCGCTTTCTGTCTCTATGTCTCTCTCTGTCTGTCTGGCGAGCGCACGCGCCCTACAGTGAAAATCTCTAAAAAAAAAAAAAGATATTTTATGCTAGGGTTATACATTTTATCACTAAGATCACACTACTTTGACAGTAATTGTTTTTCAAAAACATGTGATTAAACAATATACAAGTTAGTGGATTATTCTAATTATAAAAGTGTAATGCACAGTTTGTTTCAGGTATAAATAAGAAAAAAGCATGTTAGACCTCTATTAATATAAAAATGTAAACTAAACTAAAACAAATATTTGGAAGCTGAGTTACTTTACATATAAAGTTTTAAATTTCCAATAAGTATGAAGACATTACATGTACAAGTAAGATTATACTTTTTTAAGCAAAATATGTCTTAAGTTAATGGTAATTACATGTTCTCTGTTTATAAGTCCACTGATGTTTGAGACTTTTTAAAGTAATACTTTGACCTGTTTATACTTTGTTCCAGATTATACATTTCTAAAAACAGAAATTGTTATATATTTTACATATAGACAGCTTGTTTTATTATATTTTACTTTTTTACAGGACTTTGGAGATGATGGGTCCTTGTATATTACTAAGGTCACCACAACCCACATGGGGAATTACACCTGCTATGCAGACGGCTATGAACAAGTCTATCAGACTCATATCTTCCAAGTGAACGGTAAGAAGTGTGATGTACTAACTGTCATTAATTTTACTTCACTAGACATTCAAAGAACATCCCATTGAGTAGGAAAATAAAACATCAATTTTTTTTTAATTTTTGGCACATCTTCAGTTTTCTCAATTTTGCATCTTACTGTAAAGGCTTTTCAAATTAAAAAACACCAAATGCCCCAATGAATAAACATAAATTAGTACTAATTTTCTCATTATCAACTATTACAGAGTGACTCATTGTAATTAGAAAATTAGAGCACAGAACATTTAAATTACTTTTTCAGTTTAGAATCTCAACAATTAGGCAATCAAATTTTAAGAACTGAAAAAAATAACCATTTAAAAATGTTAAGATATCGTATGTTCGATTCATCTTATTCTAATAGAGAAAACTGTTATTTCTATACAGTCGATCTAGTCTTGATAGTTCATTTAATGGCTACAAATGTTGACCAAGTAGGATGATACGATTACTGGAGTTACAACTCATTCCCGATTTAATTCAAGTTCTAGGTATTTATTTGAAATGAGATAGGCTTGCATGTGATTCATGAATGAGCAGTGACTCATTTTCATAATCTACGTTGATATATAGGTTGCTATAATCTATGACTTATATAAAGGAGTCAGGATTTGACTTGGCTTCCATAGGAACAGCAAGGGGGCTATTGTGACTGGCCCGGGTGAAGAGAGGACCAGCAGAGGACCATCTGGTGGTCGGAAGCCTACGGGCAGATCACGAGGAGCCTGCTGGCCGAGGCAAATGTGTACATTTCCATTCTAAGTGTAATGGGAAGCTAGCATAGTATTAGATTTTCGGGAAAGGCATGACATATTTTTTCTATGTTCTTCTGTGCAAAAATGTGTCATGACTTTCCAGACACCCCAACATTTAGTGTATGGAGTGGCGCATTCTGATTTATCTGTAAGAGCATGTATAGTTAAACCATTTTGGTAGTCTGGGTCGAAATGGTACCTTGAAACATATTGATAGTAGGGGAGAGATGAAGCGGTGCTACGTGGGCTATGTTTGGACAGGAGACATGATAGTATTGCTGAGGGACAGCGTGTGTGTGTTGCAGAGAGAGAAGACAACGAGCCTAAGAATTTGAAGGAAGCAGTTAAATACACGATCGAGTCACTTACTGTAGTGACGATGGGACGCATTCGGAGATTACGTGGGTTTAATTGTTTAATATGTTATCTTAAATAGAATTGTTGATGGAAAACTCCAGTTATTCAGTTAAAGAGAATGACAGCCTAAAGGTGTTTATTTACTGCGTTGTGGGAAACGTCACACAGTCTGGGGCATTCTCGGGCTGAAACTTGTTGGTGTAATTCCCTACAGTTGCCCTTCACGTGAAGTGGTAATCAGAGAAAGAAAGAGACCATAAATGGGGCCAGTAGGTGGGTAGTGGTTAAGGTGTTGGACTGCCCCATGGTCAACTGCAGTTTGAGTCCCAGATCCGGTGGCTTGAAACTCATGCTAGGGGCCTGTGTGTGTGTGCCCAAAATCCTGAGAAGAGGATGGAGAAGGGATTGTGGCATGGCCATCTCCTCCAAGGGGTGATTTCTCACTTTCTCTCTGTCTCTTGGCAAACTTATTCACCCTATAGTAAAAATCTCTCGCAAGCGTTAGCCAGTGCGATTGTCAGGCGAGTGTGTGGAGAAAGGCCAGAGTAGGTAGGCTGAGCAAGTTTACAAGCAAGTGAGCATGGAGAGGCAGAGGGAATCTGTGGGCTCACAGGACTGGGCCAGGGGCTCTGTGACAAGGGAGCTCGATCTGCAAGTCACTCAAGCACTACTAGAATGAGGTACTGGAGAGAATGTCTTGCCTTCACCCAAAGCGTTTTCCCAAATCACCTGGCAATGTCCGTTTGTAAGAGATCCTTTTAGTTAGGTCGTCTGTCCAGAGTAACCCATAGACCTAGAGATTGCTAGGGAAGCCTAACTGTTCTTCCAGATCTATTTGTCAGTTCTGGCCTCAGCCAGATGGAGAAGGTGATATAGAATAATGCTGATTCATCACATTCAACCAGCCTTGCTCAGAAACTTGTTTTACTGCATTTGTGTCGACAAAGGAAGACAGCGAGGGCATTTCAAGGGTCAGTTTCAGCATACTTGAATAGTGGAAAAGCAGGGTAGAAATGTATTCAATAATATATATTTATCTGTAAGGGTTATCTTCCCCATCTACTGCAGAACCCACATAATAAGGACTCAAAGAAAAGACGCTGTGTTTCTCTTACACATAAAACTAGAACCATTTCAAAAAGCTTCTGGTATGTCAAAACGTTTTGCAGCACCGTGACAGGGTAATAGCATTGTGTAATAAAATGTCATCACGTGGTAGGAGGTTACCACACTGCAGCCCTAAACTCCACGTGATCTACTAGCTCTTTTTTTGTTCTCTTTCCATTGGTTTTATGGCGTTTTGTAATTGGCATGGTAACTTTAACCATATGTTTTTTGTGTTAATAAGTGTATTGAATGTGAGATTACGCAGTTGCTATAGGCCAATTAAAAAGCATAGTTGGGAAAGAGGAGTAACCCGGAAAAATACAATGAAAATACATGAAAAAGTCAGTTAGCTAGCCAAATAGCACATTTATGGATGCGACCAATCTCTGAAATGAGTTTAACTCATTTCCCATTTTTCATCCATTTGTATTAAAGCTTAAAAAGACCTCCAGGAAATCAGGTTTTCATGTGGAATTAAAAATATTGACCTTAACAATTCATTAATTAGTAATAAAAATAAAATACATTGTTGATTATCATATTAAGGGCTGAAAATGTCACATTATTGGACTTTGAAAAAGAGTGTTTTTGAAGTGCAGATTCTATTTAAATATCCCAGGTTGGAAGCCAAATGAAAGTCTATCAATAGTCCTGTTGCTTTTCAAATAATGAAAAATTAAGTTATTGAAATAGGAGAGTTTCTGTGTGTCCTTGTCTGAAGAAACATCGTGTATAAATCAAAGGAACTTGGCTCTACCAGTGGGATTCATTTCATGCTTTTCTTTTCCCTTTTACATAAAGCAAATCGTCTTTAGATCTTAAGCGTATGATACGGAATGTTGCTGTTTACAGTACCCCCAGGCAGAAGGCTTGTCCATGTTCGCCGTGCACCCAGGTGTATGCTGCTTCTCCCTCCTTCACATCATTTAAGCCCTCACATAGAATATTGAGAAGATTTTTTTCCCTATTCATTTCAAAACTTCTACATAAAATTGTTGGTTTTATAGGATGTCTGTATAGAATGCTTCTATTTTCCTACTTCAATGTTTGGAAATATCTAAAAGAAAGATAGAGCCAGACACACAGACATCAAAGCGCTGCCTTCACTACTGACAAAGCTATTTAGGGAAAGTGGCTTATGTCTGGGACAACAATGGGCTCCTTTCCTGGAGTGTGGAGATGAGCCTCCTTATCAGTTGCCTCAGCAATGGAGTCTGCACTGGGATGGAGCATGCTCTGCTCTGAGCTTCCTGTATGGCCAAAGTGCAGAAGAGAATGAAGCTTTTCAGTATGCAGCCAGGTCCTGGAAGCCAGTGGTAAGAAGTCTCCTTCCTCTCGCTTTGCCCTCGTTCCATATTGAGAGGAAAGGAAGCTTTCAGGTCACTCTGGTTCAGTGGTTTGCAGTTGGGGTTCATGGACCAACAGCATCAATATTTTATTTGAGTTTAAATGTTGTAATTGCCAAAGAGTGCAAGCACTCACCAGGGAGAGACAGAGGGAGGGAGGGAGAGAGAGAGAGAGAGAGAGAGAGAGAGAGAGGGTCCTCCCACCATGATCCATCCCAGTCTCAGATGGCCCAGATCATGGGCACACATGGGCATGCCTGGTGTCTCAGGGAGGTCCTGGGACATGAACCCAAGGACCCTTGTGGGTCCAGCTGCATCACAGCTGCACTGCCGCCTAGCCCCTAGGATTCTCCCGTTAGAACCAAACTGTTATGATCTTCTGCTCCTACTACACGTTGCACATACAAGGATCTACACTCAGCTACAAAGTCACTTGCAGATTTGTATACAAGAATCCATTCTTCTCTTTCATACATTGTGGTTTTCACACTCTTAGTGGGCATTTGGAAATGTGAGGAAACACATTTATTTATTTATTAATTATTATTTGTTTTATATTACATTTTTTTAGTTTTTAAACGATGTATAATTTATTATCTTGGTCAACTCCAACAATTACAGACTTTTTTCTGACCCTCCTGAACCAGCAACAAAATATATACCCTTTTATAATTATAATAAAGAGGTGTTTATCAATATACAATATACGATAGAAACACAGAGTAAGATTCATCAATGTCAACAATGTTTCCTTTCTTTAAGTTTTTTTCCGGTTTTGTCTTCCCATTTATTTTGTTTTATATTACATTTAATCACATGTATCTTCACCGTGTATAACATTTCTTTTTTCGGCATGATTATTATTGAATATTTGAAAAATAAGAATAATGGAAACACTTTTATTATCACGTGACCATGCATGACACAATATTTAGTGCTAATAGTCAAAGGGTGTTGGTTCTCCTCTAAAGTGTATTACAGACTCACTCTAAAATTACCTTATCCAAAATCTCAATAATGTCCCCACCTGTAGCAACTTGGAAGAGAAAAACACAGTACATAGTCGAGTGTACACACGTAATGAGCATACCTCAACTACACCCTCACACAGGAGAGACCACTTTCATATAATCATCTAAACATATATATAGGCATAGACTACATGACATCATATAATTGCAAGAAAAAAAGAAAACTATATACAACACAAACACAAAAAATCAAGCAACACAGACATAGTGACTGACTAAATCGATACAATTACAAATTAAAATACAGGGAAAAAATTTAATGCTGTGGGGTATATGCACTTGCCAGAGACAGAGAGAGTGAGAAATCACCCTCAAGGGGAATGGCCACGTTACAGTCCTTCTCTTCCATTCTCCTCTCAGGCTTTTGGGCTCACACACCCAGA